ACAATGATTTCTGACATTCATTGATTAAGATTTGACAGCAGGTTCTTAAGGTTGAGAGTATAGAATTCAGCCACCGACTCCTGACTCCTCCATCAACTTCTCCTCCTCCACTACTTGTTCTGCTGATCCCAAGCAAAGCTCCATCGAATTAATTTCCCGTCCACCACAAGCGAATCGATTCCCCATTTATCGAAGAGCGACTAATTTTGGTATTTACATGTCCTTAAATAATTCTTGTGCACTTAGAAATCAATCATTTTCGAATAATATTAAAGAATGTACCCTTATATATATATATATCCATCTATATAAACAAATTATAATTTGAGACATAGATTTAAATTCAATTTTAAAATTAAAAGATATATTTTTACAATGAAATAAATAATTATCAAGTTATGAACTTAAGTGTAAAATATATCTTGATACTGGTTTAATACATTTTAAAGAATTAAATATTTAGTGCTAAATCTAAAATCTTGAATTATAAGCTTAATCAACAAGGCAACATTTACTGTAAATCCAATCATTGGAGTTTCCAAAAGCAATTGATGTTTACTTAAACAATTTCACATGGTGTAGGTACGAGGACTGGGCCACTAACTTGATTTTATGTAATTCGCTAATAAAGTTTCAACAAATGACAATAATATGGTTATCCAACGTAACAGAGCCTCCACCATCACCAAAAGCATATGGCCAGGAAGAACATAGACCACATATGGTGGATCTGACGTTTGTCCAACAGACGTCAGTGGGCCGAGTCAAGATCCAATAGCAAGATCTTGTCGTTTCCATCCCGACTCATCATGTTTTCAGAATTCAGTAACCAACATACAAATAATACTGTGCATGCCTTTTCTCTCTTGGTTGTTACTCCATCCAATTTGATAATTCTTAAAGCTAGAAAGGCAGTTCCATATCTGTATCCAAAATGGCCACTTGATCTTGTTACCTGTTCTACACTTGCATATTTGGCACATTTGAGTCAGTAACAAGCATGTTTTACAAGAAATGAAATTGAATTTCAGTGCTAATTGAGTTACAAAAGAATTGCATGCTATGAGTAAAGGTTCTAGGCGTCATGAATCTGTTCCACGATCATCAGGAACCTTGATGAGGCTCTCTGGATCTTGTTTGCTAGTTGGAGGCAAATCTAGAAGCATATTTGGAGGAGCAAAGTACATGTGTAGAGACATCGTGCAAACTATGATTCCCAAGAAAAGCTGCAAGAATGAAAAAAATGAAAAAAGAGAAAATATATAATTCAATTTCAACAATTGTCAAACATAATAGGAGGCATAATTATTGAATGGAGCTTTAATAAATATTGAATGGTCCAATCATCGAATTCAGATAAAATGACTAAAATAAGCTTACTCCACAATTTTTAGACAATAATTTCATATTTTTTTGGAAAAAAAACATATTTGAGTTCATTTCCATGTGGTGTCCAAAGGCTAACTCTCAAATCCATAAAAAAAATCTAGCCCCTTTTCTTATTTCTTTCAGCCAATAATAGCAGGGTAGATAAATATAACTGTTGGATATACCATATTGACAAGCTTTATAAGCAAGGAAGCTTACCTGCAGTGTTGGCCTGAAATTGAAGAGGAACACAGATAGAACCATCGTCAATAGCATGGCCATGGATGTTGAATACACCTAGATAAGAAAATGCATGTGCTAGTTTAGAGAATAACCCAAAATAAACCTATCACAGAGACAATTCCAGAAATGAAAAAGCACGCTGGATTTTGCAGAGAAAAAAAAAAAAAAAATTCTAGCGCCTGCATGTTCACACACAGTCACTGATGTACACATGTTGATAAAACCCTAAGGCTAAGAGAAGATACCTTCACAATATTGTCAGCATATTTCATTAACCAAGAAACCAAAAGCCCAGTAGACCCAAGATTTAACACTACCATCCAGGTAGTAGTAGTGTATCCATTAAAAAGGCGCTGCCACCATGGTCCTTTCTCAAATCCACCTCTAAAGTCATCCAACTGAAGCCGTGCCATGTTGAAGATTGCTCCAAACCTGAAAGAATGATATCTCCTTCTGAATATAACAGTCATGTTGCTCTCAATCCTTATATTCATGCTAAAATTTCCCTAAAAAGGATGGTGATCAGAAATGTTTTTCAAAGAAATGATACCTACGTGTACAATTGGACATTCTGCCAGTATAAGCTGTCATTATTCTTCTTCATCAAGAACTCTGTATAAACACCAGCCAATGCTGAAAGACAAGCAGACAAAGTTCCAAACATGTATCCTTGAATTGGTGCTGAGAAAAGGGATTCACATGAAGCCTCCCCACAACCTTTGACCTAAACAAAAGTAAGAAAGAAGGATCATTGCCACTGTGAAGCCAATTATTAATTAAAAAAAATGTCTGCTCTTAGGGTAAATTAGCAATCAAAAAATTTCTTAGAGTAGATTAATCTAGTTGGCCTCAATGCAACTGCTATATATGATGCATTCTCTTCATCAGGAAAATCATAGCCAACATGTTTCACACAAGATGACCATGATGGTAATACCTAAACATTGATCAAATACTTGTGGCTGGTGGCAGTCAGTACATGACTTGTTCTAAATCATGCAGCATCATTGCAATAATAATTCTTTCTTTTACAGCTTCTTGCTTCAACTACCATAAAGACAATGAAACAGTCGCATGTTCATATTTGCTGTCAAACACTTAATCTTCTAGATTGTTTCCAAACAGACAGTACAGATAGCATTGGTGCCAGAATTTGAACTAATTTCCAAGCAAACCAACTATTAAGCAACATCTATCATAGAGAGACATAGCTTATAATTTAAGGTAGCATCACTGTCAGTCCAGACAAAGATTTTAATGAGCAACATCTATCATAGAGAGACATAATTTATGTCATATAAAAGTAATTTTTGCAATACCTGGCTTGTGGTTGTTCCAACAGCCAACAGAATAATAGCCATCCACTGCAGATTAGAAAGCTTTCTCTTAAGAAACAACCTAAAGCATGAAATCAGAATATCTGCTCATTTGTTAGGACAAATTCATGGAGAAGGGACACAACAATCGGAAGGTGAACAGAGAAAGCTACCTGAATAATATTCCGGTAGTCACAATTTTCAAGTTTCCCATTATCTGATAGGTAGATGTATCCACATACATCAGGGTAGCAAATTGGACATTATTATGGATTAAGTATATGATGGAAGGAATAGGGAACAAGCGAACAGTCTTCCAATCTGTAGTCATCTTTGGAAAAGGTGATCTCTGGCACTCCCTCCACAGAAGAAAACTCGCTACCAACAGCTACAAATCAATACATAACGAAACCAAAAACCATTTAATAAAGGTGATAAGAAGCAAAATTCTCAGAAGGTACCAGCTATTTCAAGTGATTTCCAGCATATACAACAACAATCATATACCTGAATATTAGCATCTAACAAATAAAACTCCAATAACATGCCAAGTACCTTAAAAACCTCAGCGAGGAATGGAACCGTGGCATAGTCATATTTATATCTCCCATTACTCTGTGATAATGTGGTTAAGATCCCCTGGAGAAAAAAAGAATTAGTAGGACCAAAAATACACTCTCTACATGAAATCTGCACTGGATCTTTGTCTTCCTCTGAATTAAATTTTCACTAAGGACAGATCCAGTATTTTTATTCAATTCATACAATCACCTGAACGCTCCAACCAGCAATCAGAATTAAGCAAAGAATATCCTCATTGCACAAAACAAAATTACCACCTAATACACGAATCGTCACTTCTTATTGTAGGAAACCAAACATCAGCTGAATTTCAGATTAAAAAAAAGTCGGAAACCAGAAACGAATACATTAGATCCAGAATGCTGTAATCAAAATCAAGTTTCTTAGCGCAAATCAGATTAAAAGAAGTTGGAAACCTGAAATGAAATACATTATATGCAGAATGCTGTAATCAAAATCAAGTTTCTTAGCGTAAGTCAGATTAAAAGAAGTTGGAAACCTGAAATGAAATACATTATATCCAGAATGCCATAATCAAAATCAAGTTTCTTAGGATAATCGGAGTTTAAGTTCAGGAGCGAGGGTGTTGTAAGGTTAGGGTTCGATGGAGGATAGAAATTTCAGAATAGGACGGAACTAAGGATTTCCGGTGAGGTAGACTGACCTGAGAACTGGTGAGGACGGTGAGGAACGAAGCTACAAAGTACCACTCCATTTATTTTTTTCTATAATCGAATGTGGAAGTGAAATGGATAGCGAGAGAGAGAGGAAGACGACGACACTGAGAAACACAGACGGCAACCATGCTGGTTGGACCAAAAGCACAGCAGAACGGAGCAACGCGCTGGAACCTAAACGCACCGTTTTAGACGTCCAGTTTATTCTTTTTTAGATTAAAACTCTATTGTAATTGCTTATTATTTAAATAAATTAATAGTAATTTTTTTTCGTTGATATACG